GTTCTGCACTCAGCTTGAGTCGGCTTGTCCCTCTGCCCCTCCACAGCTCATGCATGTGCATGTGCTCTCTCTCTCTCACTCTCTCTCTCTCTCAAATAAATAAGTAAAAAAAATCTTAAAAAAAAAAACAATAGACAAACTTGGATAAATGGTATGCCAGTGTTTTACATACTCTTTTTTTTATTGTTGCAACTTTTTGTGAATTTGAAATGATTTTCAAGACAAACAGAACTCTTTACAGGCTTACCTACTTCTTCAGACTCATCTCCTACTATTTTTCCTCTTTGATGTTTAGGCTTCAGCCATAATACATGATTGTAGTTCTTTACTTTTGCAATTGCGTGTTCACTAATTTGGAATGCTGTGGTCTTTACCACTTGTCTACCCGGAAAACTCCTATTTATACTTCAATATCCAGCATATAATCCCTCCTGTATGATGCCTATGTTTTTTGACAGAATTAGTCACCTGACTTCCTTGGGCTGTGTTTCTCATTTTGACTCCTATGCTCTATTCTCACATAGTACAATTAGTCTGTTTCTTATACTAAACTCAGAAGATCTTGAAGAACAGAGTCCCCCAAGTCTTATTCATTATTGCACCCTGGAGCCTAAAATCCCAGTTTCTGTCCTCTTGCACTCCTAGGTACATTTGTATTTGCCAGGCCATGCTGGTTCCTCACCTTTTGCCATTTGCAGTGGCCACAGTGACACTGAGTTTGCTGTGGCTTCCTGTTGTTCCCAGCTGAAGCTTGGTTCCTGGCTACTCTCTCCAATGTTTTTTTTTTTAAACTTTTTCCACATGTGGAGGAAGTGGGCCATTACCGATGAGAAGCTGAAATCCAGTGGTCATCATTGTCTTATAGACCTCCTCCAACCCCAGGGACCTCCTTCCCTTACTCTATTTTTTTTTAAAGATTTTATTTATTTATTTGAGAGAGAGAGTGTGTGTGTGTGCATGAGTGGCGGTGGGCAGGAGAGAGGAAGAGGGAGAAGCAGACTCCCCGCTGAGCAGGGAGCCCGATGTGGGGCTCAATCCAAGGACCCCCCGGGATCATGACCTGAGCTGAAGGCAGATGCTTAACTGACTGAGCCACCCAGGTGCCCCTTCTTCCCTTACTCTAATTCTGTGTTTTGGAACCAGTTACTTTACCTCTTAGAAGGCTTAGTTTTCTCATTTATAAAAAAGATACACTTTAGGGGCGCATGTAAAATCTTAAAAAAATAGATACACTTTAGTTCAGTATCCTTTATAAGAGATTTGGGTAGGGGAGGAAAAATATTTTTTCACTACTGTTCTAGGTTCCTGGCTGAGACTTTTTTTTTTTTTTTAAGATTTCATTTATTTATTTGACAGAGAGAGACAGAGAGAGAGGGAACACAAGCACGGCAAGTGGGAGAGGGAGAAGCAGGCTTCCCTCTGAGCAGGGAGCACAATGTGGGGCTCCATCCCAGGACCCTCTGATCATGACCTGAGCCAAAGGCAGATGCTGAATGACTGAGCCACCCAGGTGCCCCCCTGGCTGAGACTCTTGAAGAGGAATAAATATGCCACCCTAAAATATGCCTCTTTGGCCTAAGCATTATCTTCAGCTGGGTATGCTTAAGAAACAGCAGACACAAGATAAACTCTGAAAACAAGTAGAAGTTACCCTTTTTTAAGGGACATTTACATTTATAAGGGACATCACCATTTGTGAGGGTGTCTCCCTCTGTACCAGGGAAGGGATGACTAAAATTCTGTAAATTTTCATCAATGGAGAAGACATCACTTAAATCTGCATAACAACCCTACCCTTGTTTACCATGCTTTTTCTGGTAACCTCCCATTACTGGCATCCTACTTCTTAAATCTTTCTTTTGTCTTAAACTGAAGATGGTATTAAGGTTGGGTAGGGGGTGGGGAGATGGGGGGGTGGTCTCAGCCAAGAACCTAGAAGGTAGAGGGAAAATTATTTTTCCTCCCCAATACCTCCTTGTAATATAAGACAGATGAACAAAAGAAAAACGAATGGAAGTATAATAACATCTATACCTCTTGTATACATACAGAGACCAGGAAGACTGGGTAACTCCCTGAAATGGCTCAAGCTACCACCTTAAAAACCATCATCAGCTAATGACAAAGAACGATGTTTGGGTAGGGCAAGGAAACTCATTATGGGAGGTCACCAGGAAAAGCACAGTAAACAAAGGGTAAGGTTGTTATGTAGATTTAAGTCAGACCTTCTCCATTGATAAGTTTCTAGAGATTTGGATACTGTCTTCTCGTCCTTATACAGAGAGGGAGACACCCTTATAAATGGAGATATTCCTTATACATGTAAATGTCCCTCAGAAAAGGGCAATTTCTACTGCTGTGTCTGCAGCCTCTCAAAACTAATCTTTATGCCAAAGAGGCATATTTTGAGGTAGCATATTCTTCTGCTCCCCTTTTGTTACATTTTCTTTTCTCTTCCTTTTGCTTTGGCTTCCTGTTGAGACAGGTCATTTCATTGAATCCTTTGTGTTAATTTGTCAAAATTCATCAAATGTTAATAGAAACTAACAAGTTATTTCTTTTCTTTTTTTTTAAAGATTTTATTTATTTATTTGACAGAGCACAAGTAGGCAGAGCGGCAGACAGAGGGAGAGGGAGAAGCAGGCTCTCCGCGGAGCAGGGAGCCGGACGCGGGGCTCGATCCCAGAATCCTGGGATCATGACCTGAGCCGAGGGCAGACGCTTAAAGACCAAGCCACGCAGGCGCCCCAACAAGTTCTTTCTTGAGAGTTATTTAATTCAAAGACCAGTATGCCCCACTGGTGTATATCTCTTTGGATTCTTATGTTTTCTTTTTCTTTTTTTTTTATAGATTTATATTTATATTTTATAATAGATTTTATTTATTTATTTGACACAGAGAGCACAAGCAGGGGGTGTAGCAGAGGGAGAGGGAGAAGCGGGCTCCCTGCCGAGCAGGAAGCTGGATGTGGGACTTGATCCCAGGACCCTGGGATCACAACCTGAGCCAAAGGCAGATGCCCAACAAACTGAGCCACTCAGGCACTCCTCTTATGTTTTCATTCTGTGGTGATTTTAGGGTAGGGCAAGCTTAGCACTGTGTATAGTAATAAATGATCCTTCTAAAAGTTCCAGGTTCTCATTGCTTGTTTTTACTGCCATTTAAGACCACATGTTCTGTGGCTAAAAAACGAAGGGATCCCTTGAAGAAGAAAAATTATTGGCAGTACAACATAATTCACTTTGAAATAACCACTTTCTTTTTTTTTTTTTTTTTAAGATTTTATTTATTTATTTGACAGAGAGAGAGACACAGCGAGAGAGGGAACACAAGCAGGGGGAGAGGGAGAAGCAGGCTTCCCGCAGAGCAGGGAGCCTGATGCAGGGCTCGATCCCAGGACCCTGGGATCATAACCTGGGCCGAAGGCAAACGCTTAACGACTGAGCCACCCAGGCACCCCTGAAATATCACTTTCAAAGAGAACATCAACTACCTCCATCTTGACCTCAGTCTGTACTTTCTAATTGATTAAGTTCTTTCCAGCTTATCTCCTAACTCAGGCAAAAGACCCTGAGGGCAAAACATCCCGTGATGGAAACTGAAACTACCCCCTCAAGCAACAAGGACTGCCCTGAGCCAGCAAGACCCTGCGTGATTGACCCCAAGACAAAGATCCACCTGACCTTTACTGCCCACCTGCACGTACCCACTGACCTTTGTCCCACATTTTCCTTATATAAACCTAAAGTATTTTTGGCACTTTGGAGACTGTCTTTGAGATGCTGGTCTACCGTCTTCCCGGTGTTGGCCCTCCAGAAATAAATTCTTTTCTTTCTTCATCGCCACTGTCTCTCCACTTTTGGATTTTGTCAGCATCAAGTGGCTGAACCCTGTTTGTTTGGGGCCCCAGGTCCAGATGCTCTTGCAACCCTGGGCCCCAGCTACAACTTGAGGGGACTGAGTATTTTCTACAGTGATGAAATAGGTCACCTGCTTAAAATTTGCTTGCTGGATACATAAGAAGTGTGAGTCTGGAATGAATGCTTCACAATAGCAGGGACCTGGTCTGTCTTATTCAATACTCCATTCCAGTGCCTCAGACAATGCCTGACCCTGCTAGGAGCTCAACACATATTTGGTGAAAGAATAAATGAATGAGGTCAGGAAGCCTGTTTGGGGAAATGTCAGAGCTCTAAAAACCTAAATATATTAGGGGCTCCTGGGTGGCTCAGTGGTTAAGCGTCTGCCTTAGGCTCAGTTCATGGTCCCAGGGTCCTGGGATCCAGCCCCGAGTCGGGCTCCCTGCTCAGTGGGGAGCCTGCTTCTCCCTCTCCCACTCCCCCTGCTTGTGGTCCCTCTCTCGCCGTCTCTCTCTCTCTGTCAAATAAATAAAATCGTTTTTTTAAAAAAACCCTAAATATATTAAAGCAAGTGAAAAAGGGAACCCTGTAGAGACAGGTTTTTTAAGTCCCCAAATTTGTCATCAGGATACCAGCTGGTACTTCTCCTTGATCCATAATAAAGATGTTCAGCTTTTCCATGTCAAGGCCTTTCCATGGTGGATATTCTGCACATGTTTCCGGAATTGTAACAGTACTTTTTGGTCCCTTTGCGTTCCGCTATTATCTGCATGCTGCAGTTTTTTGAGCCCAGGGTTTTCTGGAGTAGTTTTGCCTTAAGAAAGGGCTTAAGTTACTGATAGCTGTTCCTTTTCTCATCTGCTCTTTATCAACATAGTACAGTTTCCTGTCCCCATCGGTGATGGGGAAATGATACAACTGACATTATTACATGTGAGTAACCCAAAGTTATCTTGTAGTAATCTTCCGGATCATATCCTCTTACTTTTTTCATATTTTAAATGATTTGCAGTTTTTTGGGGCCTTTTTTTTTTTTTAAGAGATCCATTTTATTTTCTTGTTGAGTTCCTGTTCATCTGCTTATCTCCGATATTCTGAAGACTTTGCTTTTTTTTTTTTTTTTTTGCCTGCTCTTCCAGTCTGGGGAATTGACAAATGATAACGTTGGGGCCATAGGGGAGAGAGAGGCCTTAAGATGTACTGTATATAAAAAAAAAAAAAAAAAAAAAAAAGATGTACCGTATAAATCATCAAAATGTGATGTACTATACCTTCTCGGCATAAACTGGAAATTGGGGGAAAAAAAAAAAAAGTGCTGCAAATAGAATTGCTTCCTTTGGGCTTAAACCGGATTGGCAGCAACACAGATTCTGCTGTGGGTTGAAGTCATTTTCTACTTTGGCACTACTCGGTCCATGGGGAATGGTGGAGTCGTGATTTAGCAGCAAGATTCTGGGAGCGGGCCAGCAACTACATCTGTTCTGAACTGTAAGTGGACTGGAAGAATGCTTAAAAAAAGCCAGAGGAGGGAGGTGAAAGAGAACACAAAACCTTTAACCTCAAAAAGGCCACAAAAAAATGGCTTGATCAATTACAAGGAGATTGGATTTAGAGAGACATTTTCATGGAAATAAAATCTATGCAACTCTCCTTTGTCTTCGTCCATTAAGTCCCTCTGTCTTGTGATACAAGAATGATAACACATAATGATACAAGGAAATCTTATTAGGAAGGACTAAAGCATCACTTACCTTACTTGGGATGAGTCAACAATTGAAGTCCGATGCCTTGGTGACACCTCTTGGACATTGAGTGCATTTTTTAGTGAATTGCATAATGGATTTCTTTTCTCCAAATGTGTGACTATACCATCTTGTAGGATTTGGGTGGGGGGTTGTGTTGTATTGTTTTGTTTGTTGTTGTTTGTTTTATATCAAGAGGTACTCCATCAATTGAATGTCATGAAGACCATGAGTGGGCAAGAGTGTGGCTGATGTACTGGAAAGAATCTGGAAGCAGACTGGCCAGGGTTCAAATTTCGACTCAATCATCTCCTGCCTATGTGACTTCAGGCAAGTTGCTCTCTGGCGCTTAGCTTTTTTACCTTTAGAATAGTAATATCTAATTCACAGGGTTGTTGTGATGATTAGAGGAGTCCATGGGCATATGGAAAGCATGGGATAAATGTTCGTTTGCTTTCTCTCTATTCTCTACTGAGTGCCCTTCTGTCTCATTGCCTTGCACACATTTGCATATCCAGAATCTTGATTTCCAGAGAAGGTATTTGTCTCATTGGAGTCAATGAACCAAACCTGGTTTGTCTAAAGTTGAAAGTATTTTTCCCAACTAGCAAAAAGTGGCTAGAAAAATCGAGAGAAAACAGGCTGCATGGCATGTACACACAGAAAGGGAGATTCTAAGTTTACTTGGAGCAATCACAATGGATTTTGCAAAGAAGCTGGGACAAGGATCAAGTGGGCTATCTACCCAAAATTCCAAATTCTTTTTGGAAAGACTTTCTGAAATGGCAGTCAGATTTCAAGAAGAAGGAAATGGAAGATTCAAAATAATAGACATCGTAGAAATAATTTCCACATGACTTAGGAAATTTTTGTTTGTTTCTCAGGAAAGCACATTACATTTTCTAATTAATTATTGGCATATATAAAGAAATAAAATAGCTCTTAGGGGTCCCAGGGCCCTACTCAACCTCTCTGAGTCACAGTTGCTTTATGTAACATGAAAGGATTGAAATGAAATTGATTCTAAGGTCCCTTTACAAATTCTAAGATTTTGTAAAAAACAAACAAAACCCCCCCCAAAACCTAAGATTTTGTATTTTGTTAAACTGATATTAAAATTATTTTTACACTTTCTATATTAACAACAAATAATAATGATTCACTGAGAACTTAGTTGGCATGGCTCAGCTCATTTACTCCTTATAATTACCCTAGGAAGCAGGTACTATTATTATTATTATTTTACAAGTAAGGAAACTGAAGCCAAATTTAAGTAATTTTTCCAGTGTCATCCTGTTAGCAAAAGAGGAGGTTCAGATTTAACTAGAACTCTCTGTCTCAAGCTTTTAGCCCAAACCTACATTGTTCCCCACAATATAGTAAACACATTGTTTATTAACAATGGGCTCAGAAGCTTTATTGGCAATGGAAAAAATTCAATCTTGGTGAAAAACATTCTCTTAAATAAATGGCATAGTGAATAATTATACATATTGGAACTGAGAAATTTGTCAATGCTTTGACTGTGAGTCCTGTGGGTAGGCCATGTTTTTTTATTGTTTTATTTTTCACCTTGGCTCCGGCTTGCTAGGTACAATAGTCACTGGATGAATTTGTATTGAATGAAATGCATTTTGTATAACTTCATTATAAATCATTATAAAGGTTTTGAAAGCTGGAAGCAACTTTATAGCTCATTTCATCTATCTATCCCCTCCCCCTTCCATCCCACTATTTTCTAGAAGGAACTAAAATTTAGAGAGCGGGGGCGCCTGGGTGGCTCAGTTGTTAAGCATCTGCCTTTGGCTCAGGTCATGATCCCGGGGTCCTGGGATCGAGCCCCGCATCGGGCTCCCTGCTCCGCGGGAAGCCTGCTTCTCCCTCTCCCACTCCCCTTGCTTGTTCCCTCTCTCGCTGTATCTCTCTCTCTCTGTCAAATAAACAAATAAAATCTTTAAAAAAAAATAAAATAAACTAAAATTTAGAGAGCGGGAAAGGGAGACATAACCGGCACCCAGGACTCCTAATTCACAACCCAGAATTCCTTCCACTTCACTGTCCTATGGAATTCTTTCTGCTTCCTGACAGTGTATTTATATTTGTAACGGAACCAACGTGAGTTTGCTCCTTGGTAAGTGACAGATAAGAGGCTACACCAGGTGGAGTTGTCACACAAAAGAAACTTTATTTGCAGAAAAGAGGGAGCTCACAGGGAATAATTTCCAAAGCCAGGACTCCCAGAGTGAGGGTGAGTGGATTTCTCTTATTTAGGGTTAAGATGAATGTTCAGAAAGGGGACTTTGGTCATTGCAGGTAAAGGCCAGCATAAGGTTGTGCAGAGGTACTTGGGACATGTGGGGATACATCCTCCTATACTGTGTTAATAAAGCTTGTGCTCCCCCTCGGGTGGAGATTTCAACATTACAATGGGGTAGAGGTAACTGGACACCACAGGGTCCATCCGGCCAGGTGTGAGTCCATGGTCAAGCTCACACTGGCCTAAGCTGGCTGGAACTCTTCCTGTTGTTTGCCTCCAAAAGATAAGGGGAATCAGCGGGGGTCTTGCTGGGGAAGGTTTTAACCTCATTAACCCTGTGGGGCACGGTTTCATATTCACAGGGCTCGAAGCGCACCTCCGCTCCAGTTGAGAGGCCCAGGTCCCCAGTTCAGGGCCTCACTTTTTCGCACATCATCCTCTAGTTTCTCAGGCTTGAATGGGCTGAGGAATGCCAGCCGGCATGGCGCAGCACTCCCTTGAGAGGGGACTAATTTTACCTGGCCTTGCAGAACTTGCTTGCCTTTTTTTTCAGCTGTGTCTGCACCAATACGGCTGAATTTACAAGAGCCAAGAGGATGTCTCACCATCTGCCTGTTAGTGGGGAATTGGCCTTTCTGCTCCTCCAACAGGGTTTTGGAAGGCGTGGTGGCTCGGGGCCAGCCCACTGAGGCGCTCCTCCTGGGATTGCGTGTTGCTGAAGGAGGGGAAACTCTTCTGAGCTCCAGAGCCAGCGCGACAAATGGTCTGCAGGCAACTGCAACAGCAAGTGTGAGCAGAACACAATTGCAACACTGTTGCAAACTGTCTCCTACTACTAAATTCCTGTCATTATCACATTTGGACAGTCAATTGAGAAAGGCCTGGATTTAAAAAAAAAGGAAGAGAGAAAGAAAGAAAACAAAGAACTTTTCTAAAAAAAGATTTTTTTTTTAAGTAATTGATCTCTACACCCAATGTGGGGCACAAACTTACAATGCTGCTGAGATCAAGAGTCGCGTGCTGTACCGACTGAGCTAGCCAGGTGTCCCAGAATTGTTTTTAATTACGAAAGCACTACGTTTATTTATTTATTTTTTAAAGATTTTGTTTATTTATTTGATACAGAGAGAGGGAACACAAGCAGGGGGAGTGGGAGAGGGAGAAGCAGGCTCCCCGCTGAGCAGGGAGCCCGATGTGGGGCTCGATCCCAGGATCCTGGGACCATGACCTGAGCCGAAGGCAGACGCTGAACGACTGAGCCACCCAGGTGCCCCGCACTACATGTTAATTGTAGAAAATTTAGAAAGGACACAAAAGTACAGAGAAGAAAATAATGCCATGTATTCGATTACCATTCCAGGGGAATTATCAGGAAGTTTTTGTTATATACTCTTTACAGCTTTTAAAACATATGAATATGGATTCTACATGTATTTATATATGCTTTTTTTCTTAAGATATAAACAATTTTGTATACCACTAGACCTTATTTAACAATATTTTTAGCAGCTGCATTGTACTCCATCCTAAGCTTATACCATATATGTATGCCCCTATTGTTGGATAGTTAAGTGCTCTTCGGTTTTTTGTTACTTGAAGTAATGAATGATAAACCTTCTTGCCTAACTCTGGTTATTTTCATAAGCAAATCCTTGAAAGCAAAATTGCTGAATCAAAGTCATGACTAGTTTCTGGTTTAAGTTTTAATATCCACTGCCAAATTGCCTTTGAGCAAGGTTATAGCAAGCTACATTTCCACCAGTGTAGACCGTTAGTAAATTTCTCAGTGTCCTCACTACTATGGGGGGTTTGCTTTTAAAAATCTTTGATAATGTGGTAAGTGAAAAATGTCTACCATTACACTTCGGTGTAGGTTGTTGACCACTACACATTTCCTTAATTAATTAATTTTTTTAAAGTTTATTTATTTATTTTTTTAGTAATCTCTACACCCAACATGGGGCTGGAACTCATGACCCTGAGATCAAGAGTCACATTCTCTTCCAAATGAGCAAAGCCAGGCACCCCACATTTCCTTAATTTAGACCAAGCTAAGATTACAAAAGCTCATAGACTGTCAGGTTTGTTCCCAGATAAAGAATCATACTTGGGCTATTTTTGCATACATGATCTTTTGTTTTCTTCTTAATTACACAAAAAGCCATGATGCCATCTTAAATTTATTTTCTGTTTGCAGATGATAATACTCATCCCAGAGCACATAACCCTTATATATGTTTGTCTGTTTGTTTTAAGAGAAAAAAGTGGTCATCTTGCCTTTTGCAATTCTGATAAAGAGTATTTCCAACAATTGTATCTTAGGTATGCCACTAGGAAAGTCAAGATAAGGTCTTCTCTGTAGCAATATTTCGATAAAAAGGAAATGTATTTTGTGTTTCATAAAGTAGAGGTATTGTTGGAGTAGTTTTTTTTTTAACCTGCTGGGAAAGAAAAATGTGAAACGTTTTTGGTGGAATTACTTAAAAGATGCCAGGGAAGGGGGTGTTCAGCTGGCTCAGTCCGTGGAGCTTGCAACTCTTGATCTCGGGATTGTAAGCTCGAGCCCCGTGTTGGGTGTAGAGATTACTTAAAAATAAAAATCTTAAAAAAAGAGAGACATGATAGTGAGGAACATGGCATTCTAGGAGTGAGCATGCCTAGATTGTTTTATAAACCGAGGTGCTCAAGAGAATGACTTACTCATCCTTGTATTCCTACTGCCTATAGTTGAGCTGGAAAATGCATTCTAGTCAAAATTTAGTATGTCTCACGAAGGGTTTTACTTGATCTGAGAAGAAAACCATCAATGGTAAAGGAGAAAAAAATTTTTTATGTTATCTATCAAAGAAATGGTGATAAGATAAATCTCAATTTTTAAGAAGTTCTATAGTTGTGTTTTATTTTAAATGCATCCTTTAAAAAAAAGATTGATTTATTATTTTAGAGAGAGAAAGAGCAAGCATGAGCTGGGGGGGGAGGAGCAAAGGGAGAGGGAAGGAGAATCTCAAGCTGACTTCATGCCAAGCATGGAGCCCAATGTGGGGATCGATCCCACAACCTTAATATCAGGACCTGAGCCAAAACCAAGAGTCAGACGCCTAACCAACTGTGCCACCCAAGTGTCCCTGTTGTATTTTATTTAAAATAAACAAGTATAGAGGTGTCTGGCTGTCTCAGTCAATAGAGCATGTGACTCTTGATATTGAGGTTGTGAGTTTAAGCCCCACTTTGGACACAGAGCTTACTTAAAAATAAAATAAAATGAAATAAAATAAAATAAAATAAAGCCAGGGGCGCCTGGGTGGCTCAGTTGGTTAAGCGACTGCCTTCAGCTCAGGTCATGATCCTAGAGTCCCGGGATCGAGTCCCGCATCGGGCTCCCTGCTCGGCGGGGAGTCTGCTTCTCCCTCTGACCCTCCTCCCTCTCATGCTCTCTGTCTCTCATTCTCTCTCTCTCAAATAAATAAATAAAATCTTAAAAAAAAAAAAAAGCCAATTTAAATAAATAAAATGTTATGGTTTTTCCAATATTTACAAGATAACTTTTTTTTTTTTAAAGATTTTTCTTTATTTATTCATGAGAGACAGAGAGAGAGAGAGGCAGAGGGAGAAGCAGGCTCCCAAGGAGCAGAGAGCCCGATGCGGGACTCGATCCCAGGACCCTGGGATCATGACCTGAGCTGAAGGCAGATGCTCAACCATCTGAGCCACCCAGGCGCCCACAAGATAACTTTTATAAAAATATTTCTGTATTTCTGAAATGTTTATAGTTTATCATTTAGATTAAAATGTTTGCAATCAATAATATTGATTGTTTATTCTACATATAGGCAGAAAAGCATTTCTATAATTGCAGTAGGGGAAGAAAATCCTAAGAAAGATGATTTTATTTCTGTTTTAAGATTTTGGCTTTTCTGAGAAGGAAGACCTCAATATAATATGTATGCTAAAACAAACAAACAAACTAGGTAAGGTGTGTGTTTGCTAAGAAAGATGTTTATGATGATTTGGAGCAGGATTTGTCTTCCTTATAGACATGACAATGTGATGTACCTGGACATGACATGGTCCTGTTGTTTTCAGATTGGATTTAAGATCTAGAGAGAAGTACTTCAAATGCAGGCATCACTCATAATGTTATTAAAAAACAGAAAGAGACCCTGTATTATGTATCAGCTCCCTCCCATATATTTTTCTTTAATATTTTGAACAATTAATCAATATAGATTTTTTCCCTCATATAAAATTCTGCCTTGGGGCTCCTGGGTGGCTCAGTCATTAAGCGTCTGCCTTTGGCTCAGGTCATGATCCCAGGGTCCTGGGATCAAGCCCCGCATTGGGCTCCCTGTTCGGTGGGAGGCCTGCTTCTCCCTCTCCCACTCCCCCTGCTTGTGTTCCCTCTCTCGCTGTGTCTCTCTCTGTCAAATAAATAAATAAAATCTTAAAAAAAAAAAAAATTCTGCCTTTGGGAAGCTGGGCATTTTTTTTTTTTAATT